CCATGGCCCAGGCAGGGGTGAAAAGCCTTAGGGGCAGGAGAGCTGGTACTTTTCCAGGTGACTTGCATGTAGTATGGGGCTGTGAATGATGGTCCAGGAGCAAATGACTCATGGGCCCGCCACTGGAGATGGACCTGTGTTCAGCTTTGTCGGAAAGGACATGGGCTCTGTGTGTGTTGTCAGGAGAGCTAAGATGAGCCCTTTATATCGCCTCAGCAGGCTGGGGAGCTCTGCTGTCTATCAGGGAAATAAACTGGCCTTAGGACGAGGCAGGACCCCCAGTCTGGATACCTGGCTGTGAGTGCTTTTGTTTGGCTAAGTTCTAAGGTGCAAATCTTGGGAGCAGTCGTGAACGAACATCCCACTAGGCAGTTCCAGATGGCGTGCCAAGGCACAAGGGTCTTTACCAGAGATGAGGAACCAGGCACCTAGGTGTGTGGTGGGATCAGGCAGGGTGATAAGCTCGCTGCGGTCCCTCTTCCAGCTTCGGGTCAGAGAGCTCTCCAGAGGGGGCAGGGGCTAAAGGATGAGAGGGTTGAGCTCACATGCAAGGGGTGGAAATGCCGAGACACAGTCTAGTCAGGGACCTCAAAGCTTAGTGGGAAGGTAGGTTGGTGAGGCCTGACCATATCCTTCATGCATGAAATGCTAGGAGGGACAGCGGCAGCAGCAGCCAGAGTCTGGGGACTTTTGGGCAGGGTCGGTAGTTCAGACTTTGCCCCAAGGCAGCCTCTTCAGCGCTCAGAGCTGTGACTTGCTTGGAGGTCAGGGTCTTGGAGAGTGCGCTGTTTGTGTTTTACTTCCTTTTGGGTGGGAGACCCCCAAGCTCCGAGTCCCCCTGCTTCCTTGAGCTGGGCTGGTAGGGCTTAGACCTGGGGGGGGGGGCGGGCAGGTTCCTGCCTTCATTTCAGAGTCCAGCGCCTGTGACCCTGGATCAAGCTGGGCACGTCCTCCCTGGTCTCCGTGACTCACAGCAGTCTCTTGTCTCAGATGAACAAATTGAATGGCCCAGGTAGCTGCTGAGCGGCGGCCCAGTCCTCTCTCAGTGGCCATAACTGGTCCTTCTCCCTCTGCACTGAAGGGCCCAATAGGTTCTCCTGGATGGGTGAGTCACAGTTGGGCATGCAGGTGGACTGCTGGGCCACTTGAAGAGTGGCCATCTCTTCAGAGTGTAGTGGCCATTGCACAGAGCACCCCAAGGACTTTCTAGACCGTGCTCATGTGTCTGTGAAACCCATATGTGGGTTCAGCACTGCTTTTTTTTTTTTTTTTGGTGCACCCTGCCTCCCTTTCTGTAGAGAGAAAGTGCTTTTCGCCATAGATCTTTCTGAGAGCCTCACTGGTCCCGGGCTACTGATAATGACTCTGGCTTTGTTTTCAGCCTGAGGAAACCTGAGGCTCTCTGGCCAGAGATTGGTTGCAGCAGAGAGGCTCCTAGAGGAAGGGACCGCAGAAGGGAGCGTGACAGTCAGTCACTTAGCCTGACAGAGTGGTTGCCGCGCCTGGGGCCCCATGGTGGCTGTGGGTTTCCTTCTGCTGGGTTCTTTCATCCGTCAGAGGCCCTGCAGCTGGTCCCAGGGGTGCCCTGCCAGCCGGGGTTCCTCCTCTTCTTGAACCTTGGGGGATTTGGCCCATTGGCTGGCAGCCTTTGGAGAAGGTGGTTTCCTTCTTCCTCCCTGTGAGGAAGGTCAGGCTGACCTACACCTGAGGCGCCACCGAGGAGAGTGAGGATGGGACAGGAAAAAACGAGAGGAAGTGGCTCCGGCCTGGTTGAGTTGCTGAGGGTGGGAGGTGCCAGGGTACTCCGAGAGCTGAAAGCCCCACAACAACAACCAAGGCGGAACCAGGACCCGAGGTGCCCGTGTGAGAACCTGGGCATAGGGTGGGCCAGGGTAGCGGGTACAGGGGTCGCGGCCCCTGCAGCTGGGCCTCCTACCTGCTGTCTCTGTGATGAGGCCCCTTCCCTGAGTCTCTTAAGATGGGGGGCGGGTGTCTCAGTTATGTTTGGGGAGAGTGGGAGAGGGTTAGCTGCCAAAGCTCGGAGAGGAGTAAGAGGAGACTGCCCGGAGCTAGTGAAGAGGCCGTCTGTGTCCGGCAAGCCTTTGCCCTGGGCCCCAGGAAGGGTGAGCGTATGGGGCCTGAGACCAGAGTGCTCTGTGTCTAGGACTCCATCTTGAGTCTGACATGCCTGGCTTCAAGTCCTGGTGACATAATCATGGGTGACCATAGGCAAATGACCTTTTTCCTGTCAGCCTTACTCAGCTTACCTCCAAAATGGGAGTTAAAATATCCGTGCGTGGTAACAGACATTTTTTAAAGATGCAAAGTACTTTGAACCCTCCTGGTGCAGGCAGGCCACGTTATTACTGTTCTGGCTGCTTAGAGTTTGGTTGCCTAGGTGGCCCTTCCCACTTCCCCACAGGTCCCCAGGCACCCTCTTCTTTTAAGCCTGCGTGTTTGTGGACCTCTGCTGGTAGGGCAGGAAGAGCACAGCTGTGGAGATCTCTGCAGCAAGAAGCTGATGGGGGTGATTCCGTCTTTCCCCAAACCAGCCCTCGCCTGATTTGCTCTGAGGAAGTCCCTGACTCTCCTGTTGTGGTATGCTGAATGATGGGTTCTCCCTGGTGTGTAGGGTAGGAAGCAGGACAGCTAGTCACACCTTCTGACTTACACACACACACACACACACACACACACACACACACACACACGCCACCCCCACCCCCCCAGACCCGTGGGCAAGAGCAACCAAACCCTGGAGCTCTCTCCACAGACTCCACCCTGCGTCCTCCAAACCCTGCACCAGGCCCTGAATAGCCACTCCCCTGCCTAGGCCCCCTCTGACAGGAACATGTCTGCACGTGCATCCATGCCTGCCTGCCACGTGGGCCTCCCCCTGTCCCAGGCCCCCAAAGCCCATGCTGTGGCTCCCACAAATGAATGTGAGCATCCCAGAGCTTGCAGCCCCCTAGACGAGGCACGTGGCCTGCTGGGCTTCCCTCTGTCCTGTCTCCCCGCTCACGTGTTCTTTCTTCCTCGGTCTTGCTGCTGCTGCTGCAGACACGCGAGCATTTCTAGTTGGCCAGTTTTGCCGGACCTGGGTCTCCCTCAGAGGGGTGGAACTCTTCAGCGCCCCCCCCCCCCAACTTCACGGAGGCCCCAGGGGGATTTTCCCTCTCTGGCTGGCTTTTGGTTCGATGTTGTGAATCGGGTCTGGCTGCCCAAGGAAGGCGGTTTAAAAAGCAAGAGAAAGAGGTGTTCGAAAAGCTTGTTACTCTGGCCCTCAGCTCTGAGCTCTGGTCCGAATTCTCCCCTTCCTGCTGGGGTCCCTCTTTCCCTGCAATTTATATGCAAATGAGAACAAAAGACGTGCCCAGGCTAGGGGCTCGCACTGGCTTCGGGGCCCAGGGGCCCAGGAGCCGGGGAAGGAAATGGAGGAGGAAGTTACTCCCCTTCTGGGTGCTGGGTGAAAGTGAAAGAGCCCCCCCCCCTCCCGCCAGTGAGTCAGGCGGCCGAGCTGCTGGCAGGCCAGTCCCGGAGCCAGGGCTCAGGCTGTTGCGGAAGCGTGCAGAGCCGAGATAGCACCGTGTGTCTGGGAGGGGAACCGGCGCTAGGTGTGGGCAGGCCTTCTTGTGGGCAGGCCTTGTGACGCCGGGTCTGTTCCTTGCTGGTTTTCTGGGAACTGCCCCCCCTGCTAACACAATGTCTATTGCATCCAGAGCTTACCGAAGATCTGCAGATTCGTTTTTTGCCCGCCTCTCGCCTTCCTACCTTAGAGACCCAAGGCCTCTTGGGTCTTGGGGAAGACCCAAGATCTTGGGGAAGAGGTGGGCTGTTACACTTCCTACTCCTACCAACTTCCCAGGGAGAAACAAACAAACACTAGAGAAACAAGACTTTTATCTGGAGAAGGAACAAAAATTTAATGATAGAGCAAGCAGCCATGTGTGTTGTAAAATACAGGCCCGGATTCTGTTCTGTAGCAATGTCCATGTTAACAGTTGGTGTAAACATCGAGTTAGAGGGGGTTGGGGAGTCTGGTCTGGCTGACCGTGTACCGCGTGTGCTTAATTAACATATATGAAGCCCCCATCCCAGCAACCCCGTCCCCAAAATTATGGTAAAGCAGAAAAAACCGAGCACTTCACATCACGGCAAGTCTTGGGGGCCTAAGTTCTAGACCTCTGCATGCTTCCTATTTGAGTTAGCGGCTGCTCTAACCAGCCCCTCTTCAGCAGCGGAGGGGAAGGGGGTGGCAGAGCGGGCAGCAGCTGCTGACCAGCTACTAGACTAAATTGGGCCCCTGTCCAGCCCAGGGTTGCAAAACAGGTTCTGTGCTAGTTTGAGAAAGAGTCTGGCAGCCAGAGCCCCACCCAGCAGCTCTTCCCAGGGGTGGGGCCTCACCTACATGCCTCAGCATAAAAGGCTGCAAGCCTAGCTCTCTGGGCCTTTGCAAGAGCCTGGTGTAGCTACAAAGGATGGGTGGCCATACTGGGAATAGTCCCTGTCCCCTGACTTCCTTTGTCCTCAAGTGGAGTGTTGGAGGTGGCCGTGGCCTGAGGAAGATTCTTCTGGGTCAGGGGCTTTTGTGTAAGCAGAGGTGTGAGGAGGACCAGACCGGAGCTGCCCAGTACCGGAACCTAGTTTAATGGGACAAGGTTCTTCGTTTGGCCTTTGTTTTCCCATTTCTCAGTTTGCCTTGGGGCTTAGGCTACACGTCAGCTCCACTTGGTCCCTCAGCGTGTGTCTTTAGAGGGCACAAATTAACACACTCAAACGCAGCGGACTTGGAGTCTAGCCAGATGGTGGTGGGCAAGAGGAGAGGGGCAGTATGCCTGGGGAGACTGATCCTGGTGCCTCCCCTGGCAGGTGTCCCTGTGTACAGTGCTCTTCTGGGACCTGAGGCCGGGGTTGGGGTGGGGAGGACGGAACGGGATACTGGGGCTGATAATCCAGGGATCCTGTGGCTGATGGCTGTCCCCCGCTCTTCTCCTCTGCAGGCTCCAGGATCCGGGGCAGCAGCATGACTGGAACGTGTAGCTGAGCTCAAGAGCCTCTCCAGAAGAGGAAGGACCGGCGGACATTTCTTGGCTCCTGCGTTTTCCTCTGCCCTTCTTCTGCCCCCACTGGCTCCGGGACTGGGACTTAGGCCAGGCTTCCAGCAGGACCTTCTCCCGAGGGATGGGCAGTTGCTGAAGGACGTCTCATTGCCAGGGCTCAGCTGGCCACACCATGAACCTCCAAGCCCAGCCCAAGGCTCAGAATAAACGCAAGCGTTGCCTTTTTGGGGACCAGGAGCCAGCTTCCAAGGAACAGCCACCACCCCTGAAGGCTCCATCACAGTCCCTCAGAGCGAAGGAGGAACAGTACGAGGCCCACGAAGGTCCAGCCGGGGTTGCCTCCACCACCCAGCCTGTGGAGCTGCCTCCTACCAACAACCTGGCTCTGCTGAACTCCGTGGTGTACGGGTCTGAGCGGACCACTGCGGCCATGTTGTCCCAGCAAGCCCAAGTAAGCTCAGTCAAGTGGCCCAACTCTGTGATGGCTCCGGGGCGGGGCCTGGAGCGAGGAGGAGGAGGAGGAGGAGGAGCTGGAGGCATTAGTGACAGTGGCTGGCAGCAGCAACCTGGCCAGCCTCCACCCCACTCATGGAACCACCTGTCCCTCTACAGTGGACCCAAAGGGAGCCCTCATCCAGGTGTGGGGGTCTCTCCCTACTATAACCACCCTGAGGCGCTGAAGGGGAACAAGCCTGGAGTTCCACAGCTGGATCACTATGGAAACGCAGTGCAGCCCATGGTGCCACAGAAGGTGCAGCTGGAGGTGGGGAGGCCCCAAGCACCCTTGAACTCTTTCCACGCAGCCAAGAAACCCCCCAACCAGACACTGCCCTTGCAACCCTTCCAGCTGGCCTTCGGCCACCAGATGAACCGGCAGGTCTTCCGGCAGGGTCCACAGCAGCCTAACGCCAGCACCTCCTTCCAGCCTCAGAAGCAGCCGCAGCCACAGCAGCAGCAGCCGCCGCCAGCGGCCCTGCCCCAGATGCAGCTGTTTGAGAGCTTCTACCCCATGCATCAGCCGCCTTCACAGCAGCCCCAGGACTTTGGCCTGGCACCGGGTGGGCCCCTGGGACAGACCCACCTTGCACATCACAGCATGGCCCCCTACCCTTTCCCTCACAACCCAGATTTGAACCCAGAACTGCGCAAGGCCCTCCTGCAGGACTCTGCCCCACAGTCTGTGCTACCTCAGCCCCAGATGGCCTTCCCACGTCGCTCCCGCCGTCTCTCCAAGGAGGGGATTCTGCCTTCCAACTCCCTCGATGGAGCTGGCGCCCAACCTGGGCAGGAGCCCACAGGCAATCTGTTCCTTCATCACTGGCCTCTGCAGCAGCCACCACCGCCGGGCTCCCTGGGGCAGCCCCATCCTGAAGACCTGAGATTCCCATTGGAACTAAGGGAGTCACAGCTGCTGGCTGACGGGGAGAGACTGGCACCCAACGGTCGGGAGCGGGAGGCTCCCCCCATGGGTAATGAGGAGGTCATGAGGGCAGGGGCCCTAGGGGACTGTGGACAGATGATACGAGGTGGGGTGATCCAGAGCACAAGACGGAGGCGCAGGGCGTCGCAGGAGGCTAATTTGCTGACGCTGGCCCAGAAGGCGGTGGAGCTGGCCTCTCTGCAGGTGAGAATGCGGGGCTGCATCTGGCATCGGGCAGGGTCTGGGGTGGAGTGGGAAATAAATGTTGTCAGGCTTATAGGGCAGTTTTTTTTCAGTTATTTGAAGGAAATGAAAGTTCTTCATTCAGAAAACCCCTCCCGGAGGCACCCATACCTACAGGGATGCCGCGGTTTCTACACACGGAGGGTGGTGGGTAGGAAAGTCCTTGTTGGCTTCTTCATGTGGAACTTGAGGATTGGGAGTAGGGGTTGCTGAGAGCCAGTATTCTGAGATGCAAGAGTGTGCTGGCGGTTACAGAGACGGTGCATGTCAGAAAATCATTTAACTGATTTGTTTGGTTGGCTCTGAATCACACTGCCATCAAGTTCATTTTTCAAAGGCGGAAAGGTGAGGAAAACCAAACAGAATTTGAGCACTCGTGTTACCTTGGGGTTTCAATTTTATTTTATACTTGCTCAAAACTAACTTCTCATCAAACCCAGCATCAAGGGTAGGCCGCCTGCCCCAGGTTTCTGTAAAGAAGCTGAGTCAGCTGGGAGTTCGCAGGACCGTGTAGTCGGGACAGACGACATTTGATCAGCATCTACTCTGCCCTTCCTTAGAAGCTGCAGCCTCTGTTGCCTTTAGGTCCAGACGGATAGACAGGAGGCGACAGAATTTTGGGGTCTTCACTCCAGTCAGATACCCAGGAGGAAATAGCTGCAAAGACTTCCCTTCATCGTGCCACAGCAAGATCCTTTGTTACGAGTCACACCCTGTACGCCAGATGCTAAACATCTGAAGCTGTTTGTGGACTGAAGTGTCCACTTGGCATCACCTGCTTCAGGCCAGGGTGGCACAACCAGGCAGAAGGATGGAGAAGAGCTGAAGTGTATAGGGAGAGGGGTGGTCCGGGGAAGGCCGGGTTGTCAAAGACCAGGGAGTGGGTGCTTGAGTTGCTCGGTTGAATGGGCCTGGGAGTCCTAGACCAGCCACTGGGGACTCATCTTCTGAACCTCACTGCCTCCCCCAATCTCCCTCTTCTCCAGGATGCCAACGGCTCTGAGGAGAAGCGGAAAAGTGTGCTGGCCTCAACGGCCAAGTGCGGGGTGGAGTTTTCTGAGCCTGCCTTAGCTGCTAAGCGAGCTCGAGAGGAGAGTGGGATGGTGCCCCTCATCATCCCCGTGTCTGTCCCTGTGCGGACGGTGGTGGGTCCAGCGGAGGTGGCCCAAGTGGGAAGTGTCGAGGAGGACGGCAAGGGTCTTGAACACTACCCCACTGAGCACAAGCCCTCGGTCATCGTCACCCGCAGGCGGTCCACGAGAGTCCCTGGGACGGATGCTCCAGCTCAGGTATGAGGCTGTTCGCCAAAACCCTCCAGTGCTGGAGCTGCTAGCTGCAGAGACTCCAAGGGAAGCCGTAGATGCTTCAGGGAACTTAAGGAGATACTATTTTCTTTATCTTATGTCTGTTTACCACATGCATGCGATGCCCTTGGAGTTCAGAAGACAGCGTCAGATCCCCCGGAACTGTAGTTACGGACAGCCGGAGCCACCATGTGGGTCCTGGGAATGGAACCCTGGTCCTCTGGAAGTGCTCCTAACCACGAATCCATCTTTCCACTTGTCGGGGGGATACTGTTTTTATTTTCCAAATCAAACTTGTGCTAAGGTACATAGAGGGTATGAGACAGTTTCATACTTGAAATTGTGCTCATTGGGGAGAATCGGGAAATTTTGATGGCCCCCTCGTGAAGGCCCTGAGCTAGCTACTGAGGTGTAGAACTGGGGTGTAGAAGGTGTGCATGTTCTGTTCTGTTCTGAGCTGAGCACCTTGGAATCTCCCACGAAGACTGCGCTTGCATTTTTTCTTTTGCTCCTGCCATTGGTTTTGTAGGTTTTGCTGGGATGTTCTGGGTGTGTGCACGTTTAGACCTGGATGAGGGTGTGGGAAGGTTCCTTTTCATCTTCGGCATCTTTCGGTGTTTGGCATTCCTTTGATGAGTGTTGGCAGAGCGTATCTTTACCCTTCCGCTTCATCTTCTCCGTATCCTTCAGGAATATTTTCAAGTAGTATACAATTGTGGTTTGCCGTTTTCTAGCCTCACGACCTTTGTCTTTTAATAAGAACATCAGTACAGTTTTCACCTTTCTATTTATTAGTAAAAATGATGTGCATGGTCTGCAATATGACCTTCTGTGTGTGTGTATGTATGTATGTAGTCAATATAATGTGTGTGTGTGTATGTGTAGTCAATGTGATGTTATATATGTGTGTGTGTGTGTGTGTGTGTGTGTGTGTGTGTGTGTGTGTGTGTGTAGTAGTAGTAGTAGAATTAGTAGACCTGCTAAACCAAGCTAATTAGCCTAGTCATTACCTCACATCCTTACTATTTTGTGGTAAGAACATTTAAGATCTGGTCTCTTAGCAATATTTCTAAGAGAAATAAATGAATACAGTTAGTAATGAAAGCCATCATGTTGTACAATCGGCCTCCTGGATTCAGACCTCCCGTTTTTACTGAATTATGTTTCTTTGATCATCTTCCGGTCCTCACTCCAGCTCCAGCCCTTGGCAGCAGCCACTCTCCTGTCTGCACGGAGTTCTGCTTTCCTAGACTCCACTGATAAGAGTCTCTACTTAATGTGATTACTGATATACCCAGGTTGAACTCTGTCACCTGCTGTTACCTCTCTGCTTACGTCATCTGTCTCTGCTATGATCCCCCCACTCTCCCCCGACTCCCCTTTAAGCTGACTGGGGTTGTCATTCCCATCTCCCTTTTGTTAACAACATATTAGTTATAGACTTAATTATTTCTCTTTTAATGGTTACTTTAGTAGGCTTCTTACCTGGATTTCTGCAGCGGGACAGAGCAAGGTTGGGACTGTGCAATACAAGCTAGTTCAGGAGCTCCGTGTACCAGCCCCCAGCACAAAGCTACTCCTAAGATCTCTGCTGCTGCTTTTCTTTATTTAATTTTTTACTTATTTTTATGTGAATGGATGTTTTGTCTGCATGCATGTCCACGTATGGGCCTGGTACCTATGGAAGCCAGAAGAGGTGTCACGCCCCTTGGGACTGGAGTTCCAGTAAATTGGAAGGCACCCTGTGGGGGTTGGGAATTGAATCTGGGTCCTCTGGAAGAGTAATCAGTTCTCTTAACTGCTGAGCCATCTCTCCAGACCCCTAATCCTGGTTTTATTTTTCTATTATCTTAGCACTAGATGTCTTGGAAATGGGTAAACAGCCCAGCACTTGTGTGTTAATGTGTGCATATGTGTACAGACGGGCATGCTTGTGTATGTGCACCTATGATGGCCAGAGGGATGTCTCAATTACTTTTCACCTTAGCTTTTGAGATGGGGTCTCTTACTGAACCTGGAGCTTGATGCTTCAGCTGGACTGGCTGGCTAGCAGGCCCCAGGGACCCCCTGGTCTCCACCTTCTGACCCTTAGGATTACAGATGTTTGCCACCACATCTGGCTTTTTTTTTTTTTTTGGTTTCTCTGTGTAGCTTTGGAGCCTGTCCTAGAACTCACTCTGTAGACCAGGCTGGCCTTGAACTCACAGAGATCCACCTGCCTCTCCCAAGTGCTGGGATTAAAGGCGTGCACCACCGCTGCCCAGCACATCTGGGTTTTTTTATGTAGGTTCTGGGGATCCAAACTTAGGCCCTCATATGTGAGTGTCCTTGCTGAGCTATCCCCTATATCAGCCCTCCTGTACTTATTTTTTTCTATGAAATCTTTTTTCCTTCAGGATTGCTCAATTGACATTTCCCCACCTTACACATCATTTTAAAGGCTTCTAAACACCTTTCCACTTTCTAGAAGAATTCATCTTTTTGTTTGTTCTGTTTTGGTTTTTGTTTTTTTGAGACAGGGTTTCTCTTTGCAGCCCTGGCTGTCCTGGAACTCTTCTCTGTAGACCAGTCTGGCCTTGAACTCACAGAGATCTGCCTGCCTTTGCCTCCTGAGTGCTGGGATTAAAGGCGTGCACCACAACCGCCCAGCTCAAGAATTCATCTCTATATGCTATTTTATTTGCCAGATCTGAAGACATGGCTTCATGGCCAATTGTTAAAATTTACCTGAAAGGTCAGTGTGTGCATGGGTGTGTGTGTGCATGGGTGTGTGTGTGTGTGTGTGTGTGTGTGTGTGTGTGTGTGTGTGTGTCTGTATGTCTAGGTTCCATCAATTCTCTTTTTCCAAAGGGCATTTATCATGAATCCTGGTGGGTAGCAAAGGGTCCTAGTGATCCCGAATCACTTTTACTTAATCAGAAACAGATAAAATGATGTAAGCTTTATTCCCTGTGAGGACAAGCCTATTTGCCACTCACCTTGATTCTGAGGCACAGTTTTTATTCTGGTAGCTCTTGAAGTTGTTAAAACTCTTAGTCCTTAGCCCCTCCCAGTTGCTTCTTGCAGTAATAGGGTTCACCTGCAGGCATAAGGCAGTTCAGATGCTGTGTTCACATGACCCCATGCCCACCCAGGTCTTGGGCCTTCAATTCTTTGTCAAGCTGTTTCTTCTGGTATCTTTGGGAATGGCTTTTCTATTCAATTCTTTTTCCTGTTCATTTGTTTGGAGAGCTAGCCTGCATGCCTGTTCTCCATAATAGGAAAAAGAGTTAAGGCCTTCAATATTATTGTGAGGTAATTAATTCAAGCTAAGGCTCTCTGAGGTCTTGTTCTGTGTGTGGTTGGGGGGAAGTTTGTGTTCGAGGCTGGAAGTGAAGGCCTGGCAGCTTGTCTTGAGAGAGGGTAGGAAGGAGCCTGAGCAACTACCTAGTCAGCACCTCCATTTCATATGTGAGGAAACAGATCCAGAAAAGTCCAGAGACTGTATTTGCCTGCTTTTCATCACTATAACCAAACACCTGAGGCAGGCTAACATAATGAAGAGTTTTATTTCGGCTTGTTCTAGAGGTACAAAGTCCAGTGGCCTTTCCTTGTGATAATCATCTTGCAGGCAGAGTTTCAAGGTAATTGCAGAGCCTCACAGAGAAAAAGATAGGAAACACATGTGTCTGTGTATGCCTCTGGTCCCTGTCTGTATTCTTCTGAGGCCACCCAGGATTCAACAATGGTGGCCCCACTGTAATGACCTTATCTAAACCTAATCAATCGCCTCCCTGCCTCTAAATACCATCTGGACTTCCAGTGTCCACCTCCTTAATACGATGAGATCAGGCTCTGAGGCTTAACCCTCCACATGAGTGCATGCTTGGGGTGCGGATGCTGTTCAGCTTTCGCACTGGTGACAGCTCAATGGTGGAGCACGTGCCTAACACGTACAGGTCCCAGGTTCCAACCCCATCATCTGTTTGTGTTCGAGGCTGGAAGTGGAGGCTTGGCAGCTTGTCTTGAGAGTGGGTAGGAAGGAGCCTGCGGAGCTCTGCAAACCTGAGCACTGACCTAAGGTCATACAACCAGGCAATGGCAGAGCTGACCCTGAATTCCCTCTTCTGAGTCTGCCTGTAAGGGTTTCTGCTACACCAGAGGGCTCCAAGATTACTGTGGGATACTGTGGAATAGTTAGTTAGCTCAAGGTTGTCCGCTTTCTGGGGTCTCATTCTGTGTTTGTATTTTGTTGTTTGTTTATTCTGTATGTTTCATTGTATTATTGACATTTCCAGTCATGTATAAAAACAGAGAAGGGTCTAATGAATGAATGTTTATCCAGTCTTATTTCAACTGTACTTTTATGACCCTGAATTATTTTGAGGCACCTTTCACACATTGTATCATTTCATCCACAAATATTTTTGGGTTGCATCTGAATACATACATATAGTCTGTTTGCCTGCCTGCCTGCCTGCCTTCCTTCCTTCGTTCCCTCCTTCCTTTCTTCCTTCCCTGTCTCCCTTCTTCCTTTCTTTTTCTTTTTAAAATAGTCTCAGTAGCATTACCACACCTTAAAAGTAAAAATACTCACCGGGCAGCAGTGGCGCACACCTTTAATCCCAGCAGTTGGGAGGCAGAGGCAGGCGGATCTCTGAGTTCGAGGCCAGCCTGGTCTACAGAGCGAGATCCAGGACAGGCACCAAAACTACACAGAGAAACCCAGTCTCGAAAAACAAAAAACAAAACAAAACAAAAGTAAAAATATTCAAAACAGTTTAAATCTCTCACCTACAAAGAGCTGGAGCTGGTTTTGTATGGGAGGAGGGATTGCCTAGTACACCGGGGTGGTGTTTAGCTCCTGTTCTAGTTAGTCTTCTGCCGCTGTGATAAACACCAAGAACAAAAGCAACTTGAGGAGGAAAGAGTATTTCTTCTCACGGTTTACAGCCCGACATGAAGGGAAGTCAGGACAGGAGGAACTCAAGGCTGGAACCTGGAGGCTGGAGCTGATGCAGAGGCCACGGAGGAGTGCTGCTTACTGGCTTGCTCCCCCTGACTTGCTCAGCCTGCGTTCTTAAAGAACCCAGGCCCCCTTGCCCAGGGGTGGATTGCCCACAGTGGGCTGGGCCCTCACACATTAATTAGCAGATGGCCCACACACTATGGTCAGGCCGTCTAATGGAGGCAGTTCCTCAACTCAGAGTCCCTCTTCCTAGATGACTTTGGTTTGTGTCGAGTTGGCAAAACCAACTGGCATGGCTCACTGCAGTTTTTTTTTCCCCCCTCTGAACTCAGACTGTTCCCCTAAAGGCGGAGGAATGAATGTTCCTCAGTTCATCCTAATTAGTAAAAGGGACATGAGGGCAGACAGGAAGGAGGAAGGGTTATGCCAGGGCCTCAGAAGCAGAGATTCCCCCTTGGCTGGATCCTTGAAACGGGGAGACTCCGCCTGTTGCTCCCCCAGTCAACATGACTGACTTGGTTTACTGTGAGCCCAGAAATGCCTTAGGAGCTGCTCCCTCCCGACAGCTCTGTGCTTCCCTTTTGAGACAACGGTTAAGCTGTTTCTTGACAGCCCTGCTTTCTATTCTGTATAGAAGCCCAGAAGGCATGCCATGTCGACGAACCTCTGACAACATGGGTGGGCTAGCCTCTGACGGGAGCAGAGACTCCCGTTCCGTTCCGTTCCGTTCCGTTCCGTTCCGTTCCGTGGGCTCATTCCCAGCCCGGGTTCTGGCCCACAGTTCTTCTATCGCACGCAGAACCTGGACTCTAAGTAGTTATAACAGCTGTTACTACAACCACAGAGTGTTGATTTCCATATATTAGCTCATAGTACTGTCCAGGAGGCCGAGCCAACCCTGTTCATCCATCCCTCTTCGGGCTGAGGAGCTGAATGTCAGATTAGAGGGAGAAAGACAGTGGGTTGGAGCTTGTGCTCCGTGGAGAGAGCCTGCCTCGCATGCACAAGGCCCTGGATTCGGTCTCCATTACCACAAAAACAGATAGGCTTATTCATTCCCACATACTAGCTTACTTAATCTTCATGGCTGCCAGATCTGGGAGGTGTTTCCTATTGTTTCCATATGCAGCGTGAAGATGGAGGCTGGAAGGATGGCTCAGTGGTTAACAGTGCTGGCTGCTCCTCCACAGACACAAGTTTGGTTTCTGGCACCACTGAGGCACCTCCAGCGCCAGAGGCTCCTCCTCCTCCTCCCCTGAACTCCTTGGGTACCCACGTGCACGTGGCCGACACTCGCACAGACATATGTGTACACATAAGTAAAAACAAATTCAGTCTTTTTTTATGAAAAGGTGGAGATGCGCATGGGAAATGCATCGTTTTAAAATAGCCAGCCAAGGTGATGGATCCTGTCCGAGCAGTGGAGGCCTGGGCCCTTCCCAACTGAACTCTTCCCCCATTGCACACATCACAGCCTTGATTGGGAGCCATGGCCTGGAACCCAAGTTTAGAACGAAGAATAATTTCTAGGTTTTGACAGGATTCCTTCCTTCTTTCCCTTTCTTCTTTTCCTTTTTTTTTTTTTTTTTTTAAAGAAAATGTAAGACAGGTGGTTCCCGAGACCTGGAACACTCAGGCAGGCCCTTAGGTGCAGTTTGCTAGCCTGAACCTGCCTGGAGGGGACAGTAGGCTGGGCTTTTGGGCCGTCCCATCTTTCAGGCCGCCTTGGTGGGTACAGCGGGCAGGTCGCGTCAGAGATGACACCAGCAGGGTCCAGACAGGGCTACAGGTTTCTGGGGACACCCAAGAGGCTGAGCCTCTCTGCTCTGTTTCCGTTTCCAGGCTGAAGAGCTGAACGTCAAGTTGGAGGGAGAGCCTTCCCTGCGGAAACCAAAGCAGCGGCCACGGCCGGAGCCCCTCATCATCCCCACCAAGGCGGGCACTTTCATCGCCCCTCCTGTCTACTCCAACATCACCCCCTACCAGAGCCATCTGCGTTCTCCCGTCCGCCTAGCTGACCACTCCTCTGAGAGGAGCTTCGAGCTGCCCCCCTACACACCGCCCCCCATTCTCAGCCCCGTTCGGGAAGGCTCCGGCCTCTACTTCAATGCCATCATATCAACCAGCAGCATCCCGGCCCCTCCTCCTATCACGCCAAAGAGTGCCCACCGTACCCTGCTCCGTTCTAGTGAGTGACCCGGGGGCTGTGGTGGTGGTGGGGGGGGTGTAGAGGGAGGGACGCAGTTCAGTTTATGGGCGGTTGTAGTGGGGCTGGAGGCTGTGAGGAACTCTGCTGTCTCCCCCTGGGGGCTGGTAAGGCATGGTCCTCCTGCTTGGATTCTGATCCTGGATCCACTGTTTACTGTCACATGCCTTGGGCAAGTCCAACTGCCCAGACCTCACTCAGTTCCTTCATTATTCGGCAGGGATTAGATTCATCATACTTGGCTGATGGTGGAATTATTGATATTCAGCTGTTAGATCCACAAACAGCAGTTTCCTCCGGTTCAACCGAATAGCTACCTCCCTGGGTTGTGGTTGTTTAAATGAGGTGACGGTCCTGGTCTCCTTGGCCTGTTGAGCAGTCATTTTGATCGAGAGCATGCCTGGGTGTTGTGAGGCCTAAAAATGTCCATTTCACAAAGGGGTTCTTTTCCCTTGGAAAACGGGATCACCTGATCACTTGCAGTGGAATCACGCAGGCGCATTCTTCACCCAGTTAACCTCTGACCCCAGAGCTCACCCATGGTGTGGTTCTCTGGTGCCTCCTGGTGTCTGTGGATGGAAATTGCCCTGTGCTGGCAGGCGTGGGCTTTGCTTCCCAGGGAGGTTTCTCTCCCTGGCTCGGTTTGTGCTGGAAATCACTGAAGAGATCAGCCTGTCAGCCAAGAAGATGTCAGTCTGCCCAACAAGTGTTTACTGAGCATTGGGTGTAAAACCTTGCAGGGATCCTGTGCAGGCTCCAGGAATGCATGGGACACCGTTATCTAGTCTAAAGAAAGTGAGGCGCAGGATCCTTAGGGAATTACCAGGAAAGCCTGGGAGACCGAAAAGCAGAGGTTCCTGTAGCAGTGGGGAACCCGGACCCGGTGAATGGGGCTGACACCAAGCTTCTAGCCTGGGGAGCCTGATTAGATAAGGAAAGAATCTGGGAAATGGTGGAGCCAGAGCTAAGCTTGAGCTTCAGAGTGGGAGGGGCAGGCGGGGCACCGCAGGCGTGGAGCAGGGCCGAGCAGAGGGAGCCATCGAGGGCCACGAGGTTAGTAGGCCTCTGGAGTCGAGTCTGGGCTGTGGGAGGTACAGACACATGGGGAACTGCCTTGAACAGCTGAGGGTTCCAGGGGTTGTCTCACGCTGCAGAGAGACAACAACAGAGGTTTTGTGTGTTGTTTTGTTTTGAGTAAGGGAGTGCCTTGGTCTAGTCCGGCTTTCAGATTAGCTTGAAGGAGAGTGAGGCAAAAAAAAAAAAAAAAAAAAAAAAAAAAAAGGGAGAGGAAATGAGAAGATAATTATAGAAGAGACCCCCTTTACCATCTCCAGTGCGCCTCCAGTTTCAGCCTCTTTGCTAGAATAAAACCAAAGTAAAACATAGTTCTATACAGAAGCTTGTTTTTTGTTTTTGTTTTTGTTTTCCAAGACAGTTTTTCTCTGTGTAGCCCTGCCTGTCCTGGATCTCACTCTGTAGCCCAGGCTGGCCTCGAACTCACAGAGATCTGCCTGCCTCTGCCTCCCTAGTGCTGGGATTAAAGGCGTGCGCCACCACCGCCCGGCCCGGAAGCTTGGGTCGAGTAGCTCCTTTGTGCAGCTATGAAAACCGAGGCGCCTGAGTTCCAAGTGCACTCAGTGAGTCACCGCTGTGACTCTTCGGCATTCGGGACAGCCGCCTAGGACGGGAGTGTTTTCCTGCAAGGAGGAAGGGGCCATTTACCAATATGCTCTTTGCCCATAGATAGCTCCGAAGTCACCCCGCCCGTCCTGTCTGTGATGGGGGAGGCCACCCCCGTGAGCATCGAACCGTAAGTGCAGCCCTGCCCCAGGCTCATGGCGTGTGGGTGGCCAGGTGGACCCACTGCGGTGCAGATTAGCTTTGGGAGCAAGAGGAGAGGCCTGCATAGAGACAAGTAGTCTCTCTGGGCTTCTGTAGTCTGTCCCGGGCTCTGCTGTCTTCTGCCAGCTTTTGTGTGGACGCTGCAGGGAGAGGAAAGGGAAGGACCAGGGTGGCTTGAATTTGTCACTAGGGAGAGCTGGGTGGGGGCCGGGGGTGGGGGTCCAAGAGACTCTCCTTATCTGTCACATGTGGAGTAGCGTTTCCATTCCTTGGCCTCTGGGCCTGTCTGAGTATACCAGCTACCAGATTCCCTGCACGCAGCTGTGGCCCTGCTGCACTCAGCACCTGCCAGCTGCACGGTTCCTTCACATCCTAGGGAGAAAGTTGGGTTCCCTGCCCCCACAAAGGCAGGGCCTCACCCCTTGCCTTTCTGCCCCTGCAGACGGATCAATGTTGGTACCCGGTTCCAAGCAGAAATCCCCATGATGAGAGACCGTGCCCTGGCAGCTGCAGACCCCCACAAGGCTGACTTGGTGTGGCAGCCCTGGGAGCATCTTGAGAGCAACTGGGAGAAGCAGAGGCAAGGTGAGGAGGGAGTTCCAGTGAGCAGGGCATGGCAGGCTGGTGGGCAGGAGGGCAGGCTGGGGTCCTCAAGGTCCAACACTGAACACGATTCCCTCTTGTCCTCCCAATGCTTCCGGTGGATCCAGTGGATGACCTGTTGACAGCTGCCTGTTCAAGCATTTTCCCTGGTGCTGGCACCAACCAGGAACTGGCCTTGCACTATCTGCATGAGTCGAGGGGGGACATCCTGGTGAGAAAGCCTCGTTAATTTGCCCGGGCCGGGGGGAGGAGGGGGTTGTCCCTTAGGAAAGCAGTTACTGGTCCCTCCCTGTCTGCTACCAGGACCGTGCCTGGTGGTATAAATTTTTATCGATTTGTTTTTGCTCTTTTGTTCTGGGGGGGGGGGGGGCGTTACATTTCTTTCTTTTTTCCCCTCACAATCATGACTCCCTACCTCGCCTTGGCCTTCTGAGTGCTAGGGTGACTTGGCATGGTGATTTGAGGTAGCTACCAGGGGGTCTGACCAAGGAGGAGGTTATTGGGGTTTGGCCTCAGGGAACTTTAGTCTCAAACCCTAGCTGGGTATGCAAGGCCCTACTGTTGAATCTAATCCCTGATCCTAGGTCAGTAGTTTCCCCCGCTCTCTGAATTGTCACCGAGGGGCATTCTCTGTCCGTACTTGATTTGGTGGTTGAGCATTCCTGCAGTGGTCTCGTGGCCTGGGTCCTCAGCAGCCCCACTGCCTTGATTTTACCACGCTCCCACATGTCCTGTCTCACAGCGGTTAAGGCAGGAGTAAGTGCTTGCTCTACCCAGAGGCCTGCAGAGGCCTGCATGTTGCCCAGGCCCAGGGTACCTCGTCCTTCACCACGACTGTCACAGTTTCCTGATAGCCCTTTCCTCCCCTCCAGGAAACGCTGAATAAGCTGCTCCTGAAGAAGCCCGTGCGGCCCCACAACCACCCGCTGGCCACGTATCACTACACAGGTGGGCTTGACGGGGGTGGTCATGTGGTCCAGAGTCTCAGGGTCTCCAGCATCCGTGGAGCCCTGCTCAGTGCTGAGTCACAGCCCTGAATGGAGGTGGGGACAGGAAGAGTCAGCCAAAAGTCAGCAGGAAAACTAATGTCAAAGCCAAGTGTGGGGCTCCCCGTGCCCTTAGAAGGGAAGCATGAAGTGGGTAGGCAATCCAAGCCAAAAAAAAGCCCACGTCACGGGTACAGAGGTCGGAAACCTAGGGAGGAGAGCAGTCAGCTGATTTCAGGTGTGCTTGTCTTGGTCTAGATGCTGGAAGAGGGACATGGATGCTATCGTGTAAGCCCAGTAGTTACTGATGTCGAGCCTCTGTGAGGTCCACATTTGTCTGTACCAGGCAGAGCCCCGAAAGGTTCTTCCCGCCTTGTAGCATCTAGTCCGTTTTGGACCTGGAAAGACAGGTTCTAATGTTCATTCCCTTTGACGAGCAAGCGGGGGAGGCTTCACGAAGCTGGTAGTGAATGACCAACGTGAATGTGGACGGCCTCACACTTTCAGTGGGTCAGAGTCATGCTCACAGTATAGATAGACACTCATGTTCCTGCCCGACTCACAACCTGGTACCGTCTCCGCTCTTCAGGCTCTGACCAGTGGAAGATGGCTGAGAAGAAGCTGTTCAACAAGGGCATCGCCATCTATAAGAAGGATTTCTTCCTGGTGCAGAAGCTGGTGAGCAGGGGCGAGCGAGGGGTCCTGTGGTCACTCGCCAGGTGGCCAGACGGCAGGGTGCTTGCCTAGTGTGCCCGAGTTCCGGCCCCATCATCGCCATTAAGGAGCTTCGGAGATGGCTCTGTAAACCACAGCTTGCCTGACAGAGGGTCCTCTGCTGACCTCTGAGCTCCCGGGAGAGGACTTTTAAGCCTAGATGTGACTGAATCTAGGGATCAAGGAGGGGAAGTGTCAGAGAAAATGTGTGGGAATGCATTGCTCAAAGCAAACCCAGTGGTCGAATAGATCTCTGAAATGAGAGGGCAGATGTCAGAATCTGAGAGGACCATGAGATGACCTGGGGATTCTAGCGTCATACCCCTTACTTTTCACACACGAAAAAACAGAAATTAGGAAGGTGAGCGACTCGCCTTAGGACACACAGCCCTTTGCTGGCAGTAGTAGCAAGGCCGAGAGAACCTTCTGCTTCCTCTCTGGGCTTTCCCTGAGTCTTCCCCGACATGATGTTTCTCTTCCTTACTTGGCATTGTTCCCTAGAGAGGAGTGAAACCAGTCCCCAGATGGATGGAGGAGGTTTTCACTGCTGTGTTGGGGCCGGCTTTGGCTGTGCAAAGATGCCTGGATGCTTCTCTAGTTTAGTTTGAAATTCACTAAATGGAGCAGAGAAGGGTAATTCCCACGAACGCCCATTAAAAATGCCCTGCCAGCCGGACGGTGGTGGCGCACGCCTTTAATCCCAGCACTCGGGAGGCAGTGCCAGGCAGATCTCTGTGAGTTCGAGGCCCGCCTGGTCAGATCCAGGACAGGCACCAAAACAACACAGAGAAACCCTGTCTCGAAAAACCAAGGGAAAAAAAAAATGCCCTGCTGAGATTTGCCAGTTTTATCATTGTCTCGTTTTCTTTTCTTTCTCTGTCTGCTTCTAAACACGCACCCATGAAACACATCTATCTCTCTTCATCCTCCCTCTGTGTCAGCTAAGCATTAAAAGTCAGCTACAGCTGGGCCTCCAGGTCTAGGCCTGTAATCACAGCTGTTTGGGAGGGTGCGGCAGGAGGATTGTGAGTTCAAAGCCAGCGTGGGCTCCTGGAGTGAGTTCAAGGCCAGCTTACTTGCCTTAGTGAGACCCTCTCTCAAAATTCAAAAAAAAGGAGGTGGGGTGGGGTGGGAGTACTTAGTTAATGGTACAGCATTTGCCTAGCACGTCCAAGGCCCTATGTTCAATCCCTAGTACAGGAGCAGGGGGGTTATTTTCAAATAAAACTGCCCTAAGCATTGGCAAGCAATTTAAACAGCATATTGAGAGGCCTGTGAAGATGATCACTATGGTTACTGTGGTTCAAGCATCACTTCCCTTACGGTTTACACGTGAAAAAGCAGAAATTAGGGTGGTGAGCCCCTTTTTACCTGGGGACTCCAGGAGGAACTGTGTGAACTTCTGAGAAATTTGTGAGGGATAGGAAAGCTCAGTCATACCGCAGGGTGCCGATGCCGACCCCGCCAAGGCTCCCGAGCCCCTGCTGGCCCAGCGTAGCCTCTCCTGGCACAGCACTAATATCTCCCTGGAAATTCTGCTATTGGCCTGTAGTGGTTACTCACTGAGACGTTGCATAAGCCTCCTTTAATTGCACTGGTCAGGGGTTATTACGGAGCAGGCATGGAGAAGTGGGGTTTGGGGTTTAGTTTTTTGCCTAAGACTAAAGGGAGCATGCGGAGATGAGGAAAGTGAGTCACACCAGCTCCCTCTGACCTCAGTTTTGGCTTGAATGCAGATCCAGACCAAGACTGTGGCCCAGTGTGTGGAGTTCTACTACACCTACAAGAAACAGGTGAAAATTGGCCGCAATGGGACGCTCACCTTTGGCGACGTGGATACAAGTGATGAGAAGTCAGCCCAGGAAGAGGTTGAAGTGGACGTTAAGGTAGGTCCTTTCCCAGCCTCTACCGCCTCATACTCGGTAGCACCTGGGGCCAGTACCTAGCTGGAAGCTTGAGCCCAGACTCTCCTGGAGTTTACAGAGGGTGGACAGAGGAGAACAGGGTCCCTGGCAGCCCAGGCCCTGAACCCTTGAGTTCCCCCATATCACCTGCTGGCATCATGCTGATGGTGCTGATGCAGAACCCTGGAGAATCGGGTTCTGCCTCCTCAGAGCAGACCGCTCACGCCGCTTCTGAGCTCTAGCCCTTCTTACAGCACCTTTATGGTATCTGCTCTCTCCGGCCTTACCACATGCCGCTAGTACTAATTCTGTCATGTCCCATACTACTTTTACTATTCATTTTTTGGGTGTGTGTGGGGGGGGTCAACTCATTTTTATTTCTCAAAAGGGAAGCTTTATATTACAGTCATAAATAGATAACCAGTATTGTTTCCTATAAATAGAAGGTACTGGGAAAAATAAGTCCACATGAAAACCACTGTTACTAAATGCCAGCTACATGCTGTAATTGCCTGCCAGGACTCTGAGACACAGATCACCAGGTCTGGGGAAGCACAAGAGGCACATTAGCACCAACCCCGACCTCGTCCTTGAAAGATGCTGTGATTTCATTCTGTGCCATGGATCCCCCGATACTGTCTCTAAGTTACAAGTCCATACTTGGTGCCACGCTACTTTGAGACCCGGGAGTAGTTCGGCCCCCATATTGTAAATGGGAAGTAGAGATCCAGATAGTTAATGTCACAGATTGTTTAAACTGGAGCTCAGAGCTCCTGCCTGGTATACCCTGAGGTCACTCTGCCCAAAGGGTGTCCAGAAGATTCTGGGCATCTATCCAGGAGACCAGGTGGTTCGTGGGTCCTGGCATGCTCCCTCCCTAGCCCTGGCTCTGTCTCACCCAGAGGGCACCCAGGGTCAAGTCTACCCTGTTTCTGGGCCAACTGGCCATGGGAGGGCTGTGACTTAGGACAGAGTCCCAGTACAAGAGGCTACCCTGGGCCAAGATAGGGTGGCAGGGCCAGCCCAGCAGGTGCTCTGGGGCCTTGGCTGGATTCAGAGTCTGCACTCTGGAATGACCGAGCTCATTTTTGTCCCCTGGTAGACTTCTCAGAAGGTCCCCAGGGTGCCTCCTCCCAGAAGAGAGTCCCCAAGTGAAGAGAGACTGGAGCCCAAGAGAGAAGTAAAAGAGCCCAGGAAGGAGGGGGAGGAGGAGGAGGTGCCAGAAACCCAGGAGAAGGGAGAGCAGGAAGAGGGCCGCGAGCGCAGCCGGAGGGCCGCTGCCGTCAAGGCTACGCAGACACTACAGGCCAACGAGGCGGTAAGTGACCTCGACCTCCACTCTCCGAGCACAGGCCGGGAAGGCGGAGCTAGGCCTGGGGTGTGGGTGGGGGTGCAGAGCAAGACCACAGTGGTTCCCGCAGGTATAGCTCAGGAAGTGGACTGAGAACTTGATGTTTTCATTTGGGCCTCAGCCCTGTGTGGTAAGGGCTGTTATGAATCTCATTGTACAGGTAAGGGAACTGAGGTTGAAGGTAATGTAGCTTGTCTGCAATTTATATACAGTGTGTGTGTGTGTGTGTGTGTGTGTGTCAGTGTTTCTGTGTCTGATATTCCGAGGAAAAAGGCCTTGTGAAAACCCAGTAGATGTGTGCAGCGTGGGGGAAGCATTCATAAGCTGTAGTTGAGTCATGGTTCACCCTCCAGCATGCGCTTGACAAGAATGTCTGAAATGGAGCCGAGACGGTGAGAATACCAATAATGGCCCTCTGTGTTCCCCGCTGAGTGTTTCGTGTCCATTATCTCGCTAAGTCCCCGTAATAACCACACGGCGTGCTCACTCCCACTCAGCAGATGGGGGAATCGGGTCCAGAGATGCCATTTGCCTGGCCTGAAGGCCACACTCCAAGTCTTGGTCCCCTTCGCAGGCGATGCAGGCATCTCACCGTGGCTCCCATCAGGAGCGCGCTCCCCGGAAGTGGGAGAGATGGAATGCATGTCTCCACTTAGGCCCGCAGAGCACCTGTCGGCCAAACACAGCTGCTTGCTTCCTCTCCACGCGGCTGCTCTCCTGTCGGGGAGCCGTGCGGTGGCCCTGCCGTCTGGTTCTGCTGTCTTTGTGAACACTTTGAGGGTGACTCAAAGGCACATTCATCACTTCCGATGGCTGTCTGGGGGTTCCTGGCCTGGGGCCAGAGCAGTAACCTCCTTGGGGGGTACACACCATGGGTCTCGACACCTTCTCTTTCTCTTCTGTTCCTCCCTACCAGCACTTCCTCAGCAAGTGGCCATCACATCTGTCCCTTCCATTGCACCGGGAGCTTTCTGGAGACAGGGCTCCTCTGAGGACCCGTCTCCCTCCCACCTGGCCTGTCACGGGAACACATTTCTTTCTGGCATGGAGACATGCATGGTTTGGCGAGATGTCAGAAAAGATGAACACAGAGCCAGAAGTATTCAGGCCTATAGCTGCCGAGGTGTGGCACAGAATTCCTGTGCCAGCCACTCTGTAATAGAGCCAGAGCCAGCCCAAGCTGCAGTGGCCTCCTGGAGGCAGCCGGGGGGCGCTGTCGCATACTAGGCGACCATTTGGCAGGACTGTAGGAGTGCTTAGGGCCCCCTGTTCGCTGAGAGGCCAGGATTCTGAATCTACACTTGCCTCTGAAACACCCCCCCCCCCCCCCTGTTGGTTGTCTCCAGGCCAATGACGTCCTCATTCTCCGGAGCCACGAACCCAACGCCCCGGGGCCTGCAGGTGCTCAGACCTCCGAGAAACCGAGAGAAGGACCCGGGAAGTCACGCAGGGCACTGCCTTTCACGGAGAAGAAGAAAAAACCCGAGGCTTTTAATAAAACCCAAAACCAGGAGAACACTTTCCCTTGTAAAAAATGCGGCAGGTAAGATGTCCCTGCCTTGTCTGTCTCCACGGGGACCTAGTAGAGTGCTGGGGCAGGGACCTGGACGCAAGTTGGGGTGTAGGTGCTGCTGGGAATGGGCACTATGGATCTGTGTTTTGATTGGCTCGGTGGGTGGGTTTCCAGGGTAATGACATCACGGGGCAGGAGTGGGTTGAAGTGGGGTGTGTGTGTGTGTGTGTGTGTGTGTGCGTGTGTGTGCACCATCCCTAGTGGGAGCGGTGAAGGTAGGTGCTAGGTGGATGGCAGGAGTGTGAGGGAGCATTGAGGGGAGGGTGCCACACCCCAACCCGGGGTGGCTCTCTCTCACCCGAGGCCCTCCCGCTCGCTGCTGCAGGGTGTTTTACAAGGTGAAGAGCCGCAGCGCCCACATGAAGAGTCACGCCGAGCAGGAGAAGAAGGCGGCGGCCCTGAGGCTGAAGGAGAAGGAGGCAGCCGCCGCCGCTGCCGCGCACCAGCAGGCGCTGAGGGAGGAGAGCGGCGAGGGCGAGAAGGGCTGAGAGCCCGCTGGACCCTCTCCCTGGGCTCCCCCTGCACCCCTGCACCCGGGAACCTCCGGAGGGAGCCAGGAAGAGGGTCCCGTGGACTTTGCCAAACCAATCCGATGATGAAAAATAAACAGGCGCTTTTGTTGACGAAGGCCGAGGACAGTGTTAAGGGCTCGCAGGATCCAGTCCTCCCAGGATCTGGTCCGTCAGGAGTTGAGCCGCTGGCCTGGAGCCTTTGAGAGGCCGGGCCCCTTGCAAGGGGGAAGGGCTCTGGCGCTGCTCCCTGATTTCCGCTGCTGCTGCCAGGCCTTGCGCATCTCTGCCTCCCCCGTCCCAGGTCCCTAGTAAGCCACCGTGGCAAGCCAAACACAAGCTCACCCCATGGCAGATGATTTCTCCTTCCCCAGAGGTCCTGGAAGGCTGTGCAGACCTTGTCCCAAGACCCCGAACAAAGGGACTCCTCAGAGAACGGTGGCCTTAACACCTGGGTTGTCCCTGTACAACTGCATCCCGGCTGGAGCCGCGCCAGTGACCTGGCTTGAGGTCACCGCCTCTCTAGGAGTGTCTCGGAGGACAGTTTCAACCTCGTTGCTGCTTGTTAACAGCCCGTCTGGGGCTGGAAAAGTCTTCTCAAACATTTGAGGAAGGGCCCCCGCTCTTCACGTCCCTGCTCTCAGCCTGCTGCGGGGAAGGGAACTGTACAGAGGCCAGAAGATGCAGAGCCAGGCCGGAGGGATCTTCGGAGAAGCCTGATGACTCTTCCTGCTGCCTACCATTTTGTACCTTTGGGTCCTGGAGGCTGCTGAGGGAGCCTCAAGCAGGTCCTGGAAAGGCCTGGCCTGCTCTTCGGTGCCAGCTCCCGGCTTGCTTGTCCTGTTCTCGGTAGCTGCGGCCTAACCCCACTGTACCCCCACTCAGTGTTGATATTCACAGCCTAACACACACACCCCCCACCCGCCCCCATCCTGCATGCTGAAGATTTCTGGATCCTTCCCTGGGAGGGGGATGTCTCCTAACTAGATTAGACAGGAGCCTTCATTCCTTGACTCGTGTCATTTGGGAACTATTTATTTATTCTTAATATTTAATTTTTAACATCCTCAGGGACCAGGGGCCTCTTGCTTTCCAGAGGTCCAAGTGCATTTAATCCCAAAATAAGGCACCTTCTTAGCATCCCCACCCCCACCCCCAATCCCAAGGCCCTAGGGTCCCTTACCTTGTGGCTCTTGCCAGTAGGGACGGTGGTAGTACTGAACGGGCTGGGAAGGTGGGGAGTGTTGTCACAGTCACAGGAAACTAGCAGATGTGGGTGACATCAAAGGCAGTTCTTGGGCCTGCCCTCTGTGTACTTTCAAAACGCTTGAGGGAGTTGGCAGGCCGCCAGAATTCTAGTTCTGTTTATCAGCCTGGATTCTGGCTGGAAGAAACCATATTTGGCATGAAATTACTAAAGGGCCGGAATGTTCTGGAGGCCCCTTGGCTTGCCAGTCCCATAGGGGGCCTAAGTGATTTTTCTGACGTCATTAGTCAACTGAGTTGTGCAGAAGAAAGTCTAAGTGGATGTGTATCTGAGTGGTCAACATGTTAGCAAAGAACTGAAAAGGACTCGTTCACTGTTCTGTAGGGAATAGCCTACAGCCCTGTTGGAAACTGGAAAGAGACATGGAGTTTTGTTTTAAGCTGTTCACTATTGGGCATTTTTTACATTCATTTATGCATTAGTATGGTCCTATGAGAGCTGCCTTTGGAAGTAACAAAAATGTCCCCCTAGATAGCTGGGCGGTTACCTAAACCTTTAGCTTCCCTGTTAGTTTCTTTCAGAGGCGTCTACAAACTCAGAGTCTCAAGATTGCAAAAATCTGGTACCCTCTGGAAGCAAGAGAGCAACAAATGTAGACTTCCTTCTAAATCACGTGCATAATGAGTGCCTTCATAGCTTAGCCCCAAAGTGCTGCTTAATGGTTCCCGAGGTTTTTTTCTATTTAAACCATATTTGGCTCAGGCCCCTTGGACATGTGATATCAGACATCTTCAGCCACGTGAGACTCTTCTGCTCAGTGGTACCACCTAGTCCTTGGAAATCCTACTAAAAAAAAAAAAAGCGATTCTACTTTTCTCAATTCACAGAGACCAGACCAGATGAATATAGCCAGGAAAAAAAAAATCGAGATGCTACCTTTCAGTAGCAATCTCATCAGAAGAACCCATGCTCCAGGATGCAGTGTGAGCACCGCGCTGTTTCCAGGGCAGATGCCCTTGTGGCAGGCTGGCGCAGGCGCGTCCTTACTGGTGCTTTCTCCTATGAACACACTGGGCTTGGTTCGTTTGGGTTGTTCTTTTCTTCCTCCTCAGAGCTTTCTGCTTTAAGAATAAGTAACAACTTCAGCTTTACATTAGCCTCCCCACACCATCTCACCTTACCTGCCTCGCAGCCTCCGCCTGCATTCCGAGAAGGGCATGGAACTGACAATAGTGTTCTGGACCATTTCTGAGGTCTCTTACCCATCTAAGGAGACAGTGCCGTTACTGCTGTCCTCCGCGCCTTCAGCAGTCCCCTCTTGGCTAAGGTACATACCCGCCCCTCCCCGCCACCCCACCTCCAGCCCTGGCACAGAGGCCCTGTGCTGCTGATGTCTAAAGGGATTGCCTATATTTAACTGCCTCAGTGACCTAACCTCTTTCTTCTCCTGTGCCAGATGTTAAAGATGAAGGAGGAATATACAACACATATTCAAGCCTCAGCTGTTTAAATGTTTTTTTTTTTTTTTTTTTTTTTTTTTAAAATGGGGGCTCACTTTTCTGGGTTGTTATTTATTACTAGACTGGCAAAGCCTAACTCCTTAGGTTTTTACAGGAAGTATGCATATTTTTATAAAACAGTGTGTCTAACCCACATTTGACTGTGTTGGTTGCCTCAAAAAAAAAAAAAAAAACCAACCAATTGCAGCTGTTAGAACTTTTCCTCAATCGTCCAAGTTGAAGGCCTTGTTGGAGAGGACAGAGCACAGGAACAGCCTTGACAGTCTGTAATTATTGTACAAATAGTTGAATAGCATAAAATAAGCATAGTCCTTTTATTTTGAAACAAAATGATCAGACACTGCCTTTCGTGTTTGCTGCCTGTGCCACTCTCCTCAAAGACTGTTACATATTAAATAGTGTACATACATATATATATAAATATTACCTCTTTTGCTGTACAGTTGTGATAGACCAGACTGAAAATTTTATTTTTTGTGTGCTTTTTATAAAAAAAAATTAATACACTAAAGAGAATCTTGCTGATGTGATTGTAATGTACCTATGTAACTTATTTACTTTTGAATGTTCTGTATCTTAAGACCTTTTATTAAATAAGGTTTTAAAAAACTCATTGTTGAATGCCATATTCTTTTTTTTGTTTTGTTTTGTTTTCCAGAGACAGTGTTTCTCTGTGTAGCTTTGGTGCCTGTCCTGGAACTCACTCTGTATCCCAGACTGGCCTCAAACTCACAGAGATCTGCTTGCCTCTGCCTCCTGAGTGCTGGGATTAAAGGCATGCGCCACCACCCGACCGGCGTGTGCCATATTCTTATAGGGCTTTTTGGTTTTGTTTTGTTTTTTAACCAGCTGGGATTGACAGGCCTTGTTTTGTTTGAAGGGAACTTACCCACCTCTCTGAGCCTGAAGCATTGTTTTGTTATCCTACATACTCAATAAGGCCAAGAAATGAAAATGTTTGCTGTTTGCCTGGCTACAAAGAAGTATAACAGGTGGGTTTTTTGTTTGTTTGTTTTTTTGTGTTTTTTTTTTTGTTTTGGGTTGTTTTTTTTTTTTTTTTTTTTTAATATACAAAATCTAGACAAGAAAGCATAGGCAGCCTCTCACAGGAACCTATAGATGGCATTCTCTTCTGCTTCCATGGGGAGAAACAGAGCAGCTGCCCAGTGTGATCAGGTGGTACACAGAAGTCAGAGTGCTTGAGTGTGTTCATAGGCAGCATAGAGTGAATGCGTAGACTGGATGAGTAACATGAGACATCTGTCACGGTGGATGCATATCAATAAGGCCAATTTAAAACCACAGCAAAATTAGATTTAAAAAAAAAAGATGCTTAGCAATATTGTTAAGAAAGAATCTGGGAGATACAGGGGATAAAAAGAAATGCGCCATCACAGAATAGACTCCTCAAACCCCTCGGTACCATAGCAACCGCCAGATCCTCTGGAGTCCGCGCATCTCGCGTCGTCATGGACACGGTTGCCACGGCGACACTGGGGAGCCGACCGGCCCCGCCCTGCACTGCAGCTGCGCGGCGGCGGCCGTTGCGGGAGCGCGCTGCTGTAGGCGCTGAGCAGAGCTGTCTCCAACCGGCCGCCAGCCTTCCGCGCCTCCGTGCGGCCTCGGTCCCCGGTGCTCGCCAGCTGCCGCAGCCGCCGGACCTGAGTACCGCCTCTCCCCGCATCTTCCAAGCCCCGGCCTCGCGCGACCCTACGTCCCCCCGCGCCTACCACCGGCCGGCCGGGGAGCGGCGGGAGGAGCTGCCACGCCCCGCGACCGCACCCGGCCGTCTGCAGCCCGGAGCCCACCGCCTTCCATCAGCCTTGCTTCCTTCCTCCACGCGGTGACGCCACGCACAGCTGCAGCCAGCCCCCCGCCTGCTCGAACCAAAGAGGTCGACATTCGAGTGGTAGGCGGAGTGACCCGAGGCTCCCCGGACACTGACTTCGGGATCCGCAAGGGACCAGACAGGACTCTGGTGTCATTTGGTAATTGTGGTTGCTTGAAGCTTGGTCGCCCCTTGGCCTACCCACGGGAGGGAGGCATGTTGTATTGTTCTAGGTCCTGTAGCACTGTGATCCTCTCCAAGCGGTGTTTGTAGAACTGGCACCCTTAATAGTTGGGCGAAATGGCTATGACGCTACTGGAAGACTGGTGCAGGGGAATGGACGTGAACTCTCAGAGAGCTCTGCTGGTCTGGGGGATCCCTGTGAACTGTGATGAGGCTGAAATTGAAGAGACTCTCCAAGCTGCGATGCCCCAGGTGTCCTATCGAGTACTGGGGAGAATGTTCTGGAGGGAAGAAAACGCGAAAGCAGCCTTGTTAGAGCTCACCGGGGCAGTGGATTACTCCCTGATCCCTAGAGAGATGCCAGGCAAAGGAGGGCTCTGGAAAGTGATGTTTAAGCCCCCCACTTCTGATGCTGAGTTTTTGGAAAGGCTGCACCTCTTTCTAGCTAGGGAAGGGTGGACCGTGCAAGATGTTGCTCGTGTGCTTGGGTTTCAGAACCCTGCTCCCGCTCCAGGCCCAGAAATGCCAGCAGAGATGCTCAACTATATTTTGGATAATGTTATTCAACCGCTTGTTGAATCCATATGGTATAAGAAGCTGACGCTGTTCTCTGGGAAGGACATTCCCGGGCCTGGCGAAGAGACCTTTGATTCCTGGCTGGAGCACTCGAATGATGTCATAGAAGAATGGCAGGTATCTGATGTAGAAAAGAGACGGCGGCTGATGGAGAGTTTGAGAGGCCCGGCTGCTGATGTCATTCGTATCCTCAAGACCAACAACCCTGCCATAACCACCGCAGAATGCCTGAAGGCTCTTGAGCAGGTGTTCGGGAGCGTGGAGAGCTCTAGAGATACCCAGGTCCGGTTTCTGAACACTTACCAGAACCCGGGAGAAAAGTTGTCTTCTTACGTCATTCGTCTGGAGCCTCTGCTGCAAAAGGTAGTGGAAAAGGGGGCCATTGATAAAGAAAATGTAAACCAGGCTCGCCTGGAGCAGGTCATCGCCGGGGCCAACCACAGTGGGGCCATCCGGAGGCAATTGTGGCTGACCGGGGCTGCGGAAAGACCCGCACCCAACCTCTTCCAGTTGCTGGTGCAGATTCGAGAGGAGGAAGCCAAAGAGGAGGAGGAGGAGGCCGAGGCCGCCCTCTTGCAGCTAGGCCTGGAGGGGCACATCTGAGTCCCTGGGTTGGGATGGCTGCTTTTGTTATCCCTGTGCAGTCTTACAAGCCTGCCTCTCATAGTAAAGACCTAGCCTCCCGATTTTGTTTTGTTTTGTTTTCTAAGGGATGGGATCGGGGAGTCGGGCCTGCGTGTTCGTGTAGCAGTCGCCGAACTGTGTGATGGGCTAGAGCCGCAACAGCAGAGGTAGGTCATACGGCCTAAAGCAAACGCTGGCCGAAAGCCCTCCTGGTGACATCTTTGGCAGTTGTGAAAAATGTGAAGCTGTGAGTGACACTTTCTGTCAAGATGATTGTGAACTTGAAAGTTCAGATGCTTAGTGCAAGCCTGCCTCACAGGCTGTACGGTACAAACTGTTATATTTGTTACTAATATTGTGGATAGTTCGGCTGTACATTGTTCCTAATTTATATAGATGGAAAGAATGTGAATCTATTCGATGATATTACTCATCTTGAAAATTCAGATTTCTAATTTCTCGTGGCTCAACATCAGAATCAGTTTACCTGCAAAGTATTCTAAGACTAAAAATGGCCTGTTAGAAAAATGCGCTTTTATGGAGCTGCACAATCGACTTCTCATGGTGTAAGATACAGATATAAACCATAGCGGGAATTGCCATGAACAAGCTACATTTCCCCCACTTGAAATATTTGTCATTTAATTATTGGTCATGTTGATGCTAAGTGTCCTAAATTTGAAGTTATCAAACAGATGTACACAAATAAAAATTTGAAAATTCTCATCTTGGTTTTCCTGACATGTATAAAAATTTTCAGTGTAATTCAGCTCTGTACATTTTCCTCTTACAGGGATTTTTGTTCATGTCAAAAAAAAAAAAAATCTAACCCCCTTGCTAGGAGCTTAAATTGCAACATCATCTACACATTCTCTGCTGCTGGTTCCTTGCTTGGTTGTTTCTTTTTCACAGTCCCACTCTGTAGCCCAGGCTGACCTGGATTTCACTCTGTAGCCCAGGCTGGTCTCAAACTTGTGGCAATCCTCCTGCCCTCAGCCGCCACGGTGCCAGGGTTACAGGTATGAGCCACCACACCCAGCTCTTTCTTTTAGATAGAATCTCACTATGTAGCACAGGCTAGTCTTGAACCCGTGGTCTTCCTGCTCTTCCTCCTGGGTGCTGGGATCACAAGCATGCGCTGCCACATGCAGCTTTCGAGATCCCTTTTAGTGGGTTCAGTTTTCACATGACTTCTTCGTGGCAAGTGAGAATGGGCGAAGAGGTGAAAATATATTTCTATGGCATTTGAAAAATTTGAAATGGGACTTAGGTTTTCTAGCAACCTTTCTGCATTTTGTGACTTAACACCTTGTTTCAGTGAAGAAATATGGCCGAGTCACACATGTGCGGTCATTTTATACCAGGATGAGAAAAAGGAAAGGCTTAAAACATGTTTACTTGGCTCTCTCTCGAGAGCCTGTGACTGCAGATGCCCAGCCCTGAGCTCCTGCAGAAATCTGGAAGAGCCATGAAGCATTCTCTCAGGGTTTAAGATTGGGGCTGGTGTGACAATATAAATCACATGACTGTCTGTCCCTGAGGCTCTGCTTCGTGGAGGCGCCGGGGGTGGGGGGGTGGGGGGGTGGGCTAACTTGGGCAGAGAATGGGGTGACAGGGCTGGTGCCATTTGTTAATTGTGAATATTAATTTGTGAATACTAACATTGGTGTGTGTTTTTCCAGAATTTTCCTCTTTAAGATATTGTGTGTATGTATGTGGCCGTGCATGTCATGGTAAGCGTGTGGAGGTCAGAGGACAACTTGCAGGAATCCATTATCTCCTCCTACCATGTGGGTCCCTCGACCTAAGATTCTAGTTCTTAAACTTTTATGCATGCACACACACTTCGCTATCATGTGCTAACCAACCACACTCCCAACTCCTCCACTTAGATAAACATTCTGAAGCACAAATATGGGTCCTGCACATTTCATGTTGTCAGCATCCTTGGTTTCTCAGAGGGACACGGGACACTTTTTGTGTGTGGGCACGTACATGTGGAGGGCATAGGACAACTTGTACGAGTCTGTTCTCTCTTTCCACCGTGTGGGTTCGAGGGATAAGACCCAGGTTGGCAGCCTTGATGGTGCGTGCGTTTACCTGCTGTGCCGTCTCACCAGCCCACATCGTCCTGCCAACGGACCCTCAATTCAACGGTTGCTACATCGGTTTCTTCAGTAGCAAGAATTGAATCTAAGGTCTCATGCGTGCTGGTCAAGCACTCTACCATGATGCCACAGCCCCATCCGTTTTTTGTTTTGTTTTAAATAAAGTTTCACATTGTATAGAAGAAGCAAGCTGTCCCGCAAATTGTCCTCTCTGGCGCTGGATTATAGGCTTGTGCCACTATGCTTAGCCTATACTTTCTTTTTATAGCTGAAGAATTGACTACATCCTATGAA